AAAGTGACTTTAGTGACTTGGCCCTAAAAAAAGAGACTTTTTAGTGACTGGCTTGAAAAAAGTTACCAAGTCCCTAAAAAGTGACTCGCTCAGCCCTAATGTAACTTATTTTGAATATTCCAGTTGATCTCATTTTTATTGACTCAACGACACAGCAAAAATGAGAGCAACATTTTAAACTGTTGAATCAAACGGAAAACTAGCCCTACTTTAAATTAAATCAATTTGATTACTGATTCTACATTCATAATATTTAACTAAATACGCATTCATGCTTCTGACGCTTAAATACTTGAGTTCAAATCTCACCCGCACAAGTCACGAATGGCCTTAAATATGTTAAATAAATCAAATAAACAATAATCGTTAGTTCAACGACAGATAAACTGAAATTAAATTTTAAACAAGACATTAACAACAGACTTTCAAGTTAAGTTGTTTTCATTTAAAAAGTCTTGACTGGATAATGAACGCACAATGTGAGTTTTCATTATGATAGGAGCTGCAAACTTTAATATCGATTTGCTTTCATTTTGTTAACCGACTTTGCTCGGAACCCTTTGATTGATACTGCGCGACTCTTTTCGATGTGCCCCTACAAGTCCGATCATCTGCACAAATACACCGAACACTCACCGGCCTAACGGGCATCAGCCACAACTAGTATATCTTTGTCTAACATATCAGATAACATTCTTTTCCTACGGGGATTGAGAGTTGCTCATGCATATTGTATAGTATTGACAATTCCATCCATATATGAATATTCAAGAAACTTGCTTGCTTGTTGACTAAAACATGTGTTGGTCATTCAGCTCAATGTCGACTGCCATTCTAACAATGCTTACCATTGTCAAACTGACAGCACACTGCATGCTGTGAGTACTAATTTAGGGTGAAAGTTAAAACATTTGCTGTCATTTTTTCCGACGATACGTTCAATACACGCCATGTTCCCGATATCGGCGAGTGCACGCAAACGACTATGAAGGTAAATCCAATTTCGTGCACGGGTATAAGTTGTAAATAACACCGTTCTCAGACATTCGCACCCAAAGGCCAGTTCTCGCTGCTGTTTATACTCGTTCCAATTTATTTCGCGCTGCGCACAGATAACGTAAATATACAACAATAAGTGCGATTTTTTCCCTGAATATTATGCTTTCTTCAAAGGAAGTCTCCCGTGAGGATGGCTGCGAGCGAGCACGCGAATGTAGGTTAAAAATCGAGTCTCTGTAGGTGGGGATTCGGTGCGATACCTGCCTGGCTTTAGCACGAGCAATCCATGGGTGCGGTCGAACACGGTGAGCTAATTCGATACTGTTTACATCAGGGTTGTATATTTTGCTGATAAACGTTGTATCGATGACAGGAAATATTGGCTCGCTAGGGTAAGCAGAACACACACGGTGCGCCGGGTACTGCATACAATGCGGAACTATTGGCAGCTTGATAGAAATCTAGGTATGAAGTGCAGCTGAATGTTTGAAAATGGTTTCAGTGATAATCGAATTTGAAACATCCTATCCTAGATTTATCACGCTACAGAAAAATGGAACACGATTTAAAAAAAAAAAAAAACATGACAGAAATGAAACAAAATCGGGAAAGCACTGTCAGTAATCCTATGATTAATTGTTCTTCCAACCAATCAAGCATCCAATTGGGTGTCTGACTAACTATTTAACATAGGTAATTGAAACAAAATCATTGACATTAGTCAAAGACAAACACAAGCCAAATGAAAAAAAAAAAACAATATTGATTGTCATCTTTGTTTCGAACGAACAAGATTTAATGACACACTGTGAATCGAATTTTGCTTTGTATTTTGTCACTTACAACCTCCTAATCAAGGTGTGTCATATGATGTGTGTTATGACAAAGACCGTATGCAACACAATTTTTGAAAAGTTGGCTAGTTAGTTAATTTGTTGGTAAGTCTGATTAATTAGACTATCGATCAATTGTTTCTGGCACCGAAAATCGATCGAGTAACCCCCTTTCTGTAATACAGTGCGTATCAGAACAATAGAACCAGCTTAATCATACCGTCATTAAAACCGTTGTATATGGATCTTCTTTCATCGAATCCCGAGCAGGAGAAAATAACTAATGAATACCTAATTCTAATCCGATACCAAAATTTGGTATTGATCAGCATGACATAAGAGGTAAAATACCAAAAAAAAAATGCATGCAAACCCGAGCACCCGAGCAGGAAAAAATAACTTATTAATATCAAATTCAGGTATGATAATAGCATAACTGGCAACCTAAATATGGTATTAGTGAGCATGACATAAGAGGTAAAATACCAAAAATAATTCCTCAAAAATATTCTACGAATACCGAACCAACAAATAATTTAGCTATTACAATAACAAACGGATAACAGACGCTTTTTTAGATGCCAGCATACCATAGTTTGTTATTTTGAAAGTCTTCTAATACCAATTCAATAACTTTTTTAAGGTGTTATTTTCTAAAAACTGAAAGATCACATTTTGTTATTTTGGTATTCATTTGATATTTTACAAAATATGTCGATAACTGAATACTATCAAAACAAGGTTTTATACCACAAGAATACCGAAATCTGGTATCATACCACATTAATATATTCATTTGTTATCGATTAGCTATCGGTTCCTGCTCGGGCAGGAACCGATAGCTAATCGATAGCACATGAATATCTTAATGTGGTATGATACCAGATTTTGGTATGCTTGTGGTATAAAATGTTCTCTTGATATTATTCAGTTATCGAAATATTTTGTAAAATATCAAATGAATACCAAAATAACAAAATGTTGTTTACACAATAACACTTTAAAGAGTTATTGAATTGGTATTAGAAGACATTCAAAATAACAAACTATGGTAATCTGGCATCTAAAAAAGCGTCTCTTATCCGTTTGTTATTGTAACAACTAAATTATTTATTAGTTCGTTATTCGTAGAATATTTTTGAGGTATTATTTTTGATATTTTACCTCTTATGTCAGCCTCATTAATACCATATTTAGGTTGCCAGTTATGCTATTTTCATACCTGAATTTGGTATTAATAAGTTATTTTGTCCTGCTCGGGAAATACTTTGTAAATAACAAAAATTGATATTCGGATACAAAAAAAAAATACCTGTGTGGTATTGTTTTGGTATTGCATTATCATAATTTGATATTGAAATGGTATCGTGGGAACATTTTTCTGGTATTATTTTTTGGTATTTTACCTCTCATGTCAGGCTCATCCATACCAATTTAAGGTATCGAGATATTCGTTCCTGCTCGGGATACACCTCACCGGTAAGCGATATGATTAACACTCCGAACACGAAGCCTCATATAAAATGTGTAACGGCAAACTTGCAATAGCTCAGCCATTTATTGGCGAATTTCAAACCACTTGCCACCACTTGAAACTACAAACTATAAAGATTTTTTCTGTATTAATAGGTTTAAGATCTATCGATAAATTGCTGAGTAATGATTTATTTATTTATTGTAATCTGACAGTAAAACTTAGATAATACACAAAAAAAGCAACAGATAAACAGATTCCTAAAATAATCACAATCTTCTCGATCGGTTTCGAAATTGGTTCGATGTTTCTCCGAATTCAAATGCTTTTTTCCACAGCGGAGAATGCCCGAATCATTGCAGACATTGGCTCATGGTATTCATATGCAGTCCGATGGAATCTTGGTTGTAGTAAGGATGATTGCCGTAACATCCTTTGAGGAACACGGCAGTTTAATTGTGAAAGCAGTTGAGGGCAGTCCACATCGCCATTAAAAAGTTTCGCTACAAATAAGGCTTGTTGCATTTTTCTTCTGTGTTCCAATGTGTCCAGGTCCAGACCACATATGCATTCTCAAGTATGGGCCGAAGTAAAGAGCAATATAGTGCCTTCAAGCTTGCTTCGCATACACAGTTTTGGTCACGAACTGCTCATTTGCCTATAACTTTGAATACAGTTGACGAAACATATTTCTTTTTGAAGTAGTAGATAGAATAGAGTTTAAGCTTGTTATTGATACGTAAAAAAGAAGATTTAAGTTCTTGTAATAAACTGTATTTTTTTTTGCGTTGTAAAAATGAAGTAAGAAATGCTCGCTGCACATCTCGGACTTTAAGCGTAAAAAATCATTGGTGTTGATTCAAATGTTCAAAGATTTACCTACTCTCTATAGTAAGCTATGATTCTAATCTATCAATTACTTTAAAGAAAAACAAATTTCAACAACTGAGTGAAAAGTTATTAACAAATGAGCAGTTAGTGTGTACAACTGTGCATTCCAAGCATGCCTTCAAGCAGTGAGGGTATTTGAAATCTCGAAATGAATTCCAGTTGACGATTCGCCTTAGAGATGATCGAGGAATAGTGAAGATTAGAGGTCAACTTTGGGTCCAAAAGAACACTGTTTTGTACGGGGATGAATCACGGGCGTAAATTTCGGGTTTGCACTTAACTGATACGGCGCGGTTACAAAAAAACCGATTTATTCACCTTTAAAACTAATTACTTTATTTCACTGTCGAATAATTTTTATAGCTATGGGTGATGGTGACCGGTCCGCTCATGTGGCAATTTTGGAAGAAGGAAAACTGATAGAGTGATAACGGAACAAATGAAACGAGCTACACAATAGCGAGAGAATAACAACTGTTGGAGTGCGTTTTCATTCTAATCAATGCACTGCGTTTCTGACGCCAAAGGATGCATTGGAGATGGATTCCAATTTGAATTTAAATTGTTTAGCTTCAAAGTGATCTAAACCTAACATAGACCGGCCACCGAAATGAATATTTCGTTGAGAATTACTGGTAATGCATAATACAAATTCAATTACATCATGTTTGAGTTAAGCTACTGATCTGCTTTCTCCGTGACGTCTCCTTCGATGTCGTCCTCCATCGTCGAGGGCAGCAGGCATAGCTTCGAAGTAGGTCGCTTGAAGACTCCAGCTACAGTACGTACGGTTGCAACACGTACTACGTCGTCTTGTCCTGGTGAAGTTCCATAATGCGGGCCAAAGGCCAGCGTACCGGTGGAAGCTGATGATCTTGCAGGATGACTACTTGGCCAACTTGGAAGTCGACTTTTCGTGGGTTTATCGCCGTTTGACGTTGCAGCTCTTTCAGGTACTCGGTCCTCCATCGGTACCAAAAATGCTGCACTTTCTGCTGAGCTAGCTGGTAACGGTCCAATCGGTTGATCGGAATCTCTCTCAAATCCGGTTCCGGGAGAGTTTGCAGGGAAGAGCCCACCAAAAAGTGTCCGGGTGTTAGCGCTTGAAGGTCATTAGGGTCATCAGATAACACGACCAGAGGGCGAGAGTTCATGCAGCCCTCGATTTGCACCAACACTGTTTCGAGGTCCTCTTGCAGCAACGAAGTGGTTCCAACTTGACGAAGTAGGTGCTTTTTTGCTACTTTTACAGCAGCCTCCCAGAGCCCACCAAAGTTAGGAGCACGAGGTGGGATCATGTGCCACTTGATTCCATTCGTTGCGAGACAGGTAGCGATACGAGCATTTTCGGTTTGGTTGTTGAGCATTTGGTAGAGATTATGGAGCTCGTGCTTTGCTCCGGCGAAGTTCGTGGCATTATCCGAATAGATGTGTTCGGGTAAGCCGCGACGAGCAATAAATCTCCGCAATGCAGAGATAAAGAGTGATGTAGACAAATCTCCAACCAGTTCAATATGAACAGCTTTAGTGCTGAAACATACGAACAGTGCGATATAGGCCTTGGTAGGGGCACCTTTGCGGAGTTTAGCCTTTACGTACACTGGACCACAGTAATCTATGCCGGTTGAAGCAAATGGCCGGCTGGGAGTGATTCGCGCAGTAGGAATTTGTCCAACAGGTTGCTGGATCGGACGGGGATTTGTACGAGTACAGCGGTAGCAGTTCCAAATTATGCTACGAACGGCTCTTCTGCCGTTGGTTGGCCAGAAATCGTCGCGAACCACGGCAAGAGTGAGTGAAATGCCACCGTGTAATAATTTACGATGGTACGACCAGGGCGTCACAATATCAGCTTCAATCGACCAAATCGATGCGACGAAGAGACTGCTGGCTTTCTTTTTCTGTTAAAGTCGAACAGCTTCGCAGCATTCTAGAACCTCAGTCGGCGTGCACAAACAAATGTTCAATCGCTTGTCTCTCTTTCTCCCGTCGCTCCATTGGTCTTCCTTTCAAGCTTCGTCGAAATGGATGAGCGAAAGAGCGCTCGACTTTGATAGTTTTCTCTTTCATGAAACACATCAACAGAGGTTTCATGACGTATATGACGGAAAATGAAATAACACATTTAAAGCATTTCTCACGTCAAAACACTTGAAGATTACACGTCATATTTCTAATTTATCTTCCATCCATATATTTATCTAAAAAAAATGATCGAAAACGGGACATAACGCATTTTAAACAAATTGAAAGAGCGGCGATAGAGTGTTCGTGAAAGGGGATTGAAAGCCATAATGAAGTTCGTTTAACTAGAAAATCGACGTTATTTACATTGAAAGCGATGTGCAAAGCAACGACGAGAAGTTCCACAGCCAGCCTTTCCTTCCAAGCGTCCTTCTTTTTTATTTTCGTTTCTTGCTGATAGTCTAGCTAGGCGGTATAAAAATGAAGCGTCGAACACGTATGTATGAGAGAAACAAAACACGAGTTCATTTTAGAGCTTCGAAATTGTAGAGCCCTGGGTACGACACCAATAGCATTCGTGTGAAGTGATGGAACCCAGGTAGAAGAATTGGGTGTTTGGTACCATAGGATTCTTCAGAGAGTCTAAGCCGGCCACCAACGCGTATAATTCCAGAAGTGTCCACGAACGGGTTCAGCAGCTTCAACGTGGACTGGTTAGTAACCGGTTGACCTTTCTTGAGAGCACGCAGCTCTTTTTGGTAGCACTCAGCTTGAACCATTTTCAGCAGAGTGACTTGTGAATGTTTTACTTGATCGACGGAAAGAAACATTGTGTTTTCTCGTTCTCCCTTACGAGCATTTTTAATAAACCGCAGACAATAGGCTATCGTCCGTACCATGCGGTGGTACGACGAAAATCGGGTAATCAAGGGGTTCGGTGGTGGTGGGGTTTGAATTGCCAGGCACGTTGTCTTGCGCTCAAGTAAATCGTCGAATGGAGCAGTCAGAATTGGTACTTGTTCTGGCCAGAGATCCTCTCCCTCCCGCAGCCAATCGGGTCCTTTTCTCCAAAGCTCACTCGTCGTGAACTGTCGAACTTCCATACCCCGCGATACCAAATCTGCGGGATTCTCCATTCCGGAAACATGCCGCCACCTGGAGCCGTGAGTTAGGATTTGAATGTCGGCCACACGATTTGAAACAAACGTTTTCCATGTTTGCGGTGTGGAGCGAAGCCAGTGCAAGACCACCGTCGAATCTGACCAAAACCAGATGGATCCAGGTTCAATTTCCAGCGCATTGCGGACTTTCGTAGCTAGATGAGCAGCGATTTGAGCAGCACATAATTCCAACCGTGGAGTACTACGCTTCTTCAGCGGGGCCACCCTCGATTTCGAAGTTAGCAGTTCAACCTTCACTTCTCCGTTGATTCCAATTGTACGCACGTACAGACACGCGCCATAAGCAACATCGGATGCATCGGCGAAACAATGTAGTTGCACATCCCCCTCCTCAAAGGCATACCGATCAATACGAAAACTGACTAGGTAGGGCAGCTCGTTGATAAAAGTCATCCATTTGGCTTGGATCTCGGTGGGTACCTCCTCGTCCCATTCCAAAGACAGCATCCACAACTGTTGCATTAATATCTTGGCCCGAACAACAATCGGTGCAATCAAACCAAGCGGATCATACAGGCGTGCGATCCCCGACAAAATTTTACGTTTGGTTATCGGTCCTTCCTTCATGCTCACGTTGATGCTGAATCGAAACTGGTCGGTCGATGGTTCCCAGCTGATTCCCAACGTTTTAATGGTCTCTTCGGGATCGAACGATCGACTGGATTGAGTGGCTAGGTCATCCTCCGGAATTCCTTCTAGGACCGCTTGGGAATTGGAACACCACTTTCTCAGTCGAAAACCTCCACGTTTGAGTAACTCAGTTATCTCTCGTCGTAATTTGATCGCCGACTCGACGCTATTCTCTCCTCGGATGAAATCGTCCATGTAAAAATCTTGCTTTAGTGCCTCTGCAGCGCGGGGAAACGAATCGCCTTCGTCTTCGGCAAGCTGATGAAGCGTGCGGGTTGCCAGAAATGATGACGGAGCCAATCCATACGTCACTGTCGTTAGAACGTATTTGGTGATAGGGTGAGCTTTGCCGAAACGGAAAAGAATGCATTGGAGGAACCACTCATCAGGATGCATGCTGATCATGCGGTACATCTTCTCGATATCTGCCAGTAAGACTATCCTGAATTTACGAAATCGGAGGACAATAACGTACAGTTCGTCTTGGATAACGGGGCCGACCAAGAGCGCATCATTCAGTGAATTTCCAGAACTGGTTTTCGCCGATGCGTCGAACACACCACGGACCTTTGTGGTCGTGCTAGACTCCTTCACCACCGGGTGGTGGGGAAGATAGCAAACTATAGCGGGTTCTTCTTGATCTGGGGAGACTTCTCGCATATGTCCTAGATTTATGAATTCCCTCATGAATGCGTAATACCTCTCCTTCAATTCCTCGTTCCGATCCAGTTTCCTTTCGAGACTCTCCAATCGTTGCAAGGCATTGCAGTAGGAGTCACCAATCATACGGGAAAAGCCTTCCTTTTTGGGATATTTGACCACATATCGCCCAGTCGATTCCCGGGATACTGAGCGTTTGTAGAAATCCTCACAGCACTGCTCGGTTGGTGACAGAATTCTGGTATCTACTTCCTCTATTCGCCAAAATTTCTCGATGTTCCGATCGAGTGACTCCAAGGTAGAAATATGGCATAGCGGGGGGTGGGGTATCGTTTCATAGGATGACTTTCCCGATACTAGCCAACCAAACACGCTCTCCACAAGCGTGGGTGATGATTTCCCCAAAGTGATCCGGCCACCCTTCAGGAACGTATAGAAATGTTCAGCACCAATTATCATATCTATTTTCCGTGAAACGTTGAATTCAGGGTCTGCAAGGTTAATGCCCTCGGGAATGGTCCAATTGTTCTTTGGAATTGATACCGCAGGCAGACTTGTGGTGATGTTGTGAAGAACCAAACAATCTAGAGAGACCGAAAATTCGTCGATTCTAGATCGAATTTCTGTGGAGACCGAACCAACAGCCCGAATTTGAGATTCACCGACGCCGAAGATGGGTTGGTTTATTCGTCGCCGAACCAATCGCAATTGTTGGCAGAGTCGTTCACTCATCAAACAACATTGTGAGCCCGAATCCAATAGTGCTCGTGCAAGATGCTCTCTCCCATATCCATCCACAACGACGAGTACGACAGTTGATAGGAATACATTCACACTTCGCGGGTCGGATACAGAGTTAGAGGAAACCGTGTCTTCAGTAGTAGTTTGTACCATTTCGACTTCACATCTAGCAACGTTGGAGACTGGATGGGATTGGGAACTTTGACCTTGACCGTGATTAATGTTTCCGTTGCCAGTTGCCGATGTTTCGAATCCAGGATGCAGCAAAGTGTGGTGTCGCTTTTGACAAGTACGACAGGAAAAATTGGAGGAACATTTGCGGACGAAGTGATCTCCGCGGAAGCAATTGCTGCAAATTTTCTTGGTGTTGACCACGTTCAGCCTATCCTTCAGCGACATTTTCTCGAATACAGGACACTTCACCAGGAGATGATGTTGATTGCATGCGTGACACATAGGTAGGTAATTTTCTGTTGCAGCGTAGCTACCAACCCGAGAAGAAAGAGGACCATGGGACGACTTTGATTGCTTTGAGGGGGGATTGTGTTTGCCTTGGAAGGATGGTGCAAATTGTTCTGCAGTGATTGACAGGGACTCCAGTGTGCGTATTTTCTTCGTGAGGAATTCGACAAGATTGGTGTACGTAGGATCTCCATCAGCGGATACGAACTCCTCCCAATCCTTGAGGGTTTGCTCGTCGACTCTTGAGCAAAGTAATTGAACCAACAAGCTGCTCCATTCTACTGTGGGTTCGCCCAGTTGACCCAAAATTTTGACGTGCCGTTGGAATTCTTCTACCACGGCGCGAAGTGTTGAAGCGGATTTGCCCAGAACCTTGGGTTGGAATGTAATGGCCTGCAAGTGCTTCTTTTTCAGCAGGTATTTGTTGGAATACCGATTCAACAGAGACTCCCAAACAACACCGTAATTGTTTGCAGTGATAGTCAGGGATTCAATCAGCTTGAGTGCATCACCTTTCAAAACTGACCGAAGGTATTGGAACTTTTGTATGCTTGGGATTTCTGCCGATGAGTGTATTAACGAATTGAACGAATCGTGAAACGTCAACCACTCGTTTAAATCTCCATCAAACTGCGGTAGAGAAATCATCGGAAGCTTTACGCCACTCAAATGGGAAATTGCGGGAACTGCCGGTGCTGGTTGAACTGGTACTGGCGTGGAGGGAGGGACCAAGCACATTAAACCACCTTTAACCCGATAGTATTGTTCTTCCACCTTTGCTCTAATGCTCATATTTGCACCCACAAATTTGTCGGAATCATCGAATGCTTCATATTCACCTTGTATTGCCTCAAAAGTTTCTATCAGCATATCCAGTCTGCTCAATCGTATCGCTACCTCCTTAGAGTCTCGTTCGGAGTTGAAATTGTTCAGGAACTCGTCGATGCGGTTTATCGAATCCATGATGTTTCGTCGCTTCAGCTCCTTCTGCTTCATTTTCGCCTCCGACATGATGTGGGTTTGATCACTTCCGATGTATGGCTAGAATGATCGAAAGACCCAGGAAGTACCGAAAGGAGGGTGGAAAAGTTTGGACAGACACTCACCTGTGCCCGTCCAAAGACAGGCCTTGTTTTATAATTAAACTGGAACCTCCGATACAAATCGAATTACTTCCGTGGATGAATGGCAGGGGGCGTTTGGGGCGCTTGGAGCACTAGCAATACAAGGTGCGGGCTGCACGCTATTGCTGGTTACGATTCGGCGATAATCCTTCTTCTTAGGGTAACAAACGTACTTCCGCACAGGTAGGTGGTATTATCATCCGAGAATTGTAATGACTTTACAATCAGGAACGGTACACGAAGCGGGTGGGTATCCAATCCAGTTGTAGAAACCTCGTGCCACACAGCAGCAGAAATGTCAGAAAAGGTCTGAAATCGATCCAAAAAACGACCCAGGAAGCACCGTACAATGGGGATGGGAAAGAATGGACAGATACTCACATGTACCTGTCCAAAAACAGGCCTTGTAATTTGTATACGGTACTGCAATCCTTGGGAAGACTTCCCGATGAGTGATAGGGTTAGGTCCAAGCGTCGTACAATGAAGCGCACAATTTCCAACACTCGTGATCCTGGTCACGGCACCAATGTTTTGTACGGGGATGAATCACGGGCGTAAATTTCGGGTTTGCACTTAACTGATACGGCGCGGTTACAAAAAAACCGATTTATTCACCTTTAAAACTAATTACTTTATTTCACTGTCGAATAATTTTTATAGCTATGGGTGATGGTGACCGGTCCGCTCATGTGGCAATTTTGGAAGAAGGAAAACTGATAGAGTGATAACGGAACAAATGAAACGAGCTACACAATAGCGAGAGAATAACAACTGTTGGAGTGCGTTTTCATTCTAATCAATGCACTGCGTTTCTGACGCCAAAGGATGCATTGGAGATGGATTCCAATTTGAATTTAAATTGTTTAGCTTCAAAGTGATCTAAACCTAACAAACACCAAGATCAGTCATACGTTACATTGTCAATGCAGTAGTCGTAAAGGATTGAACTCTTAGAGCGGTGAAACGTCATCACTGCACACTTTGGAACGCTGATGATGAGCTGATTGCGACGGCACCAATCCACAAACAAATCTAGCAGAGCTTGAACCGAGTGAACTATGACGTATAGCTTAAGATCATCTGCACAAACGAGCTTGCATTTAACTCCCAACAAAGCTGCTACATCGTTGAAGAATAACGTATACAAAAGTGGACCCAGATTACTTCCCTGAGGTACTCCAGAGGTGCTGGTAAACGTAGAAGAGACACAAGATCCTAGTCGTACTCGAAGAGTTCGTCCAGTCAAGTAGGAATGTAACCACGACCTAAATTGCTCAGACGCACCTAGTCGGGAAAGCTTACATAACAAAACCTTCTGGTCGATTTTTACGAATGCGGCTTTCAGATCAGTATATATGACGTCGACTTGGTTGTCTTATCCTCCATCGCGGTGAAATCTAAAAGGTTAGTAGCTGCCGATCTACCGGGAATAAATCCATACTGGTCAGTTAAAATGTAGTTCATCGAGCGATTCAGGACAAATTCGCTCAAGATTATCTCAAACAGTTTGGACGCTGCCCACTCAAAGACTGGTGATACCTAGATAGTTCTTAATATCTCGTTTATTGTAAGCTTTGAAAACAGGAAACATATACGACTGCTTCCACTATGTTGGGAATTTTACTTGCTCAAAGGATGCATTAAATATGGCTGCTAAAGGTTCTGCGAAGGCAGCTGAGCAACGGCAGAACACCACTGCCAGAATTCCATCTGGAACAGGAGAGAGTGAGGTTTTCAGTATCCTTGCTGCTGAAAGTACAATATCCCGAGTTACTTCGAATGTGCTCAGTTCCACTAAGTAACTAGGTATATCAGAGGCAGCAGATTCAGCTGCAACGACACTTGTCATATTTTTATCGAAGACAGATGCAAAGTGTTAAGCAAACATCTCACACGCTTCGCAAAGAGAAGTTGACTCTTTCCCATCGACTAGCATGTTGGACGGTATACTCGAATCTTTCCCTTTGCTGTTGACAAAGCTCAAAAAATGTCGGGGGTTACACCGCAAATTCCACTGGACTCTGAGGACGTGTGATTTGTACAAGGCACAGTTATGTTTAATGTAACCGATACTGGCACGCTTGAAGTCACGCTTCGTGTCAGTTGTTCTGTGACGACGTAGTTTTCTCGGGACTGCGTTACGCTCACGCTTCAGCACTCTAAGCTGAGGAGTACTCCAAGCTGGGGAAATTTGGAACATTTGATTCCAACCAATGTTATGTTGAATAACGCTACAGAAACGCACAGTTATCTCATCATCATCAATGCATTCAAACACATCGGCCCAGTCTTGATCAAAAAGAATACTGCAGTAATGAGACATAATCAATTTTCTTGAAGTCTAGAAGCCCTGCTCTATCATCCACGTTGCAAGCTGGGTGAGATGACCAGTCAAGTGGAGCAGGTAGCGGTAGAATTAAGGAAGGATGGTGAGCATCAATAGGTAAAAGCGGCATAGCGGATTCGTCGATATGGAAATAATTTTCACCGTTGCAAAATACCAAATCCAGCGTGCGACCAAGTTCATTTCGGACTGTATTGTGATGACTGAGATTAACGAAATCCATTCCATCAACGAGAGCAATACTTGCAGCGGTTAGTGAAGATGTTTCGGTGAGGTAGACCCTGTTGTTATCGATTCCCCACTGAAGACGAGGCTGATTATAATCGCCACAAACAAGAATCTTATCATCACAAGATGCCTTGTCGCACAACTATTTGACTGAGGTGGGATGTACACAGCGCATAAATATAGTCTGTAGCCATGTAAGTCCCAGTGATACACAGACTTGTTCCAGTCTAGTACCGTGTCTGACATTCGCAAATAAGCTGACATAACGTTGCGTCTCAGCTATCAGCACGCCACCAAAGCATGTTTAATCGCTGTTGCGTAAGTTGCGATCACAGGGAAACACGTTGTAGAAAGGTCCAAACATCTGAGTCGAATTGATGCTATCGTCAAGTCCGGTTTCAATCAAGATGATAACGTCATACTCGCAATCAGCAGCAGTCAGGAATAGATCATAAATTTTTGTCCGAATACCTCGTACATTTTGGTAGTAGACCCAGATCCGATTTTCATTCGAAACATCCGGTTGTTGCTCTTGAGGTGGTGAGGCGCTGGAAGCAACGGACGAATCAGGAGCGGGACTGATCATGACACGATCATACTTGCTTTAAATTGTAGGTTGGAAAACCCCTTCTCTAAGCCCACACACAGGTCCAGGACGACTGCAGGACGATGGCTGGAGTAAATCGATTGTGGCGGGAGAGGAAGGGGCTTCCGTAGTGCCAACTTTAGTGCGTCCCAGAGTGCTCAGGCGATAGACAGGCGATGGATGGTTGAAGGTTGGTACAGCGCTAGAGCTAATGGACGAATCATTAGCAGGACAGATCATGCCACGGTCATACTTGCCTTGAATTGCAGGTTGGAAGACCCCTTCTCCAAGCCCACACACAGGTCCGGTACGACTGCGGGACGATGACTAGAACGACTCAACTGTGGCGGGAGAAGAAGGGGCTTCCGTAGTGCCAACTTCAATGCGTCCCAGAGTTCTTAGGCGACCGGTAGGTGACGGCTAATTGATGACTGATAATGCTGGAACCCTGGAACCGCCGCTGGAGCCAATGAACGAATAAGGAGTGGTACTGGTCGAGAAACAGATCATACCTTTTCAACTGTAGAACGCTGGCAAGAATGGCTCGACTGTGGTGGGAATTTGGTGGCTTCCATGGTGCTAACATCGGTGCGTCCCCAAACATTGCCAATTGTCCGTTACACATATTACCGGAGGCATCGTTTCCGGAGTGTTAAATTAAATTTTCTGAAAAATCTCCCAGAGAACGACGATTAAGTCTAGCAATCTAGACTTATAGACTTCTGTACTAGAAAACAACATTTTACAACCTGAATGGAGACAGGTCAAAGTTATAGCCATTAAAAAACCAGGCAAACCAGCGTCTGACCATAACTCATACCGTCCGATTGCTATGCTTTCGTGCATTAGGAAATTGTTGGAGAAAATGATCCTTCGGAGACTCGATCACTAGGTCGAATCAAATAACTTGCTATCAAATACACAGTTTGGGTTTCACAAGAGCAAAGGAACAAACTCTAGCGCTACTTTCCACAGATATTCAACTGGCCTTTGCGTACAAGGAGCAATTGGCTTGATTCAGTTGCCAATGAAATTCTGTCAGATAATCTACACAGATGTGAACTTTCTGGAATTAAAAAAAAAATCTTGTACAATTTGTTGTCAGAAAAGCGAATGAACTTTTCTCTTGGACAACTGACAAATTCTCAACATTAGTTGCATGGGCTTGCTTATGTCAAAGATATCGACAGCTGTTTGGCAGACCAACGCATGCTAAGACAACTTGCAGATGCCGGTGTGACTTTCGTAAGAGGTCCACATACCGTGGACTTGCAAGTGCAAGGCCTCAAATTCCAATATCAATCTGAGTAAGAAATTAACCAGTAATAGACCCCCATACGGTAGGAGCAAATACACAACTTAACAGCAGCAGTGACAATGTCGCACATTTCCAGGGTCAGTTGTTTATAAACAGTTGCTACCGCGTCGTCAGCGATGCGCGCTGGCTTAACTAGGTGCTTCGAGAAAGGTCAAAGTAAACATTGGTGAGTAAGCATCCTACATAGCCGTTCCTACCGCGAGGAGCATTAATTCTTGTTAAAAAACAGACACCGACTTTCCAAGAGAAAAACTATCTGTCTCGCTTTATATGTACATACTGGAGAAAAACTATTGTGTAGAGTTTAAGTAACAAATTCATGTATAAAAGGTTTCGAATAATAAAGAATCGGGGCAGTTGTTCTGATGAGTTTATTATCCGAGGTTTGCTAGGTGCGGACGAGCACAGTTCCAACCTCAGGATAACTGATTCATCAAAGAGCTTTTTCCATACAGTAGAAATGGAATTGCACTGTCTTTCATTTTACGGAAAAAGAAAGACCACGCGAGTTGATGCTCTACGTTGGGCGCTTCCTCACGGAAGTGAAATATGGATGCGCAACGGAGTATGGGCGCTTCACAAGGACCATTGCAAAGTTCCTTAGATAACTTGTTGGGCTTTGAATCTAGGGATCGAATGCTCGCCGCAGAAAACTGGTAGTGTTTACTCGAAAGCGGTATCCAGCCCAAATGCAGCTTAACCTTTCAGGCAGAAACTTTACCCACTCATTGACATTTAAGTATCTTGGGGTCTGGTTTGATTCAAAATGCACTTGGAATACCCATATTACGTATTTGAAGCAAAAATGTCAGAAGAGGATCAACTTTCCGCGTTCAATTTCCGGCACACTGTGGGGTGCTCATCCGGGAGAACTTATTAAGCATTATAAAACAACAATTCTCGATTACTTTTTCGGAGGGGCGTATCAGCATTTGTAAACAATGCATTTGATCGTCGATTTGTCGTAATTGGTAGCTCGCACACGCTTTCTAACATCACTAACAGGTAGGGGAAAATTTTCCCATACCTATTCTACCAGTTACGCCAAATCGACGATCAAATGCATTGTTTACAAAAGCTGATACGTCC